GAATCTTGCATTGGATTCTTCAGCCCAGACAGTTTTCACCTAGTTTCCAAGCTTCCTTTGTGAGGAAAGTTGCTGAGAAGTGGTTGGACAGCAACTGGACAGGAATTCGGAGGAAGTGGATTATATGGACTTGTTTCAGTTGGATTTTAGGCCAGGGTACAGCACTGAGACTGAATTGGTCACATTTGTTGATGACCAGATAGGGATGATACATCCATCCTGTGTTTCTTGATTTCTAAGTTGCGTTTACCTATTTTCATTGCTGATTTGAAAGCTGTATTATTTAGCAGGTGAATTACCAATGCTAATGTTATCCATAAAGCTCTTTCTGGCAGAGGGGCTCTTTATTTGAGGATTGTCCATCCTGTTTTCATCTGTTCAGTATGTTCAAACAGAGTATTATGCTCTTGATCCCTTCAATTATATGTTGCCACTGAGGGTAGGTCCCAGATAGTCACAGGTAGACTCAATAACAAAAACAAATATATTACTAATGTATTAATGGCATGATCACCAATGTTCCCTCTAAGCTGCATGCATGTATAGCCTCACCATGACCATGAACTCCCCAACAAAACACCCAGGTTCCCAACAAAGCTGGCCTAGAAAGTCCCCAAACATAAACAAGCAGTGGGAGAAGGATACAAACAAATGACAGACCAATGGCAACCAGTGTTGAGAAATTCCCTTCCATGTTTAAAAGGATAGTGATTGTCATCCATGCTGGGATATATCTCTGGTTCCTGTTGGAACTGGAATTTGAAAATGCATCACCTTGCATGTAATTGGAGTCATAACCTCTGTTGTCTAAACTTAAAGAAACCTGCCTCCTGCCTTTCACTCTACTATAAGAAGGAAGGGAGGGGGCAGGGAGGGAGGAAGGAAGGAAGGAAGTTGTTACTTAAGAAAGATGCACCACTCTGAGAACATAGAAAATTCTCTCCTTCCTGGTTGCCAGCATTTCTATTCTAAACATAATTACATACACATCAACAATACTCACTAGTATCTGAAACAAAATAATAATCAGTCATGAGTCATATATATCTCTTGCTCAACAAAGCAGTTCTAGTCTTTTCATTTGAAGTGCTAAACAAAAAGTGCTGCAAACATGTTAAGGTTTAAACCAAGAAGTTTCAGCATGCCTTTTAAGTAAAAAAATGCATTATGGGCTGCTTCAACTATGTCCAACAATGCATAAAGGAGCCCAACCCCTTCCTCAAAAGTATAGAATATCTATCTGTCTCTCTGGCATGCTACATATATAAAGGCATCCTGAATCTCAACATCAATTGGATCCACATGCATCCCGAGTACACATACATGCACAGATCTAAGCAGCAGACAAAAACCCAATATGTACTACTATCTTTGTATCAACATCACTTGTGTGTGAAACAAGTGTGAACTTCAGTACTTTAGTGCATGTGTATGCACATACAATATTAATTTTATGTTAGACAGTTGCTTTTCTTGAAGATCACAAATATTAATTGACTCACATTAGATGTAGCTTCCTCAAAAGAATCTTCAGACACAAGTGTGTGTGCATACACGGACACAGCTATACATACACAAACCACTAAAACCCAACTCAATTATCAGCTTGTCAGAATTAGCTTAAGAAAAAAAACAAAGCAGAATATGGTTTGTTTTTCTCATTTTCTCTCTCTCTCTCTTCCTCTCTTCATCCCCCATTTCTCTTTCCATGTATGCATAGATAGGTAGATAGATAGATAGATAGATAGATAGATAGATAGATAGATAGATAGATAGATGCAAATAAATATATCTTAACAAGTGGAATTTGATCTTGCTTGGTCTAGCATTTTCCTGTCTGGAAATAGCCAGCAATTGTGTGGAATCTGTCCACCGATTCCACACAAGTGAAATTCCACACAAGATTCCACACAAGATTCCACACCAGTGCTCCACACACTTCCACAGTGTGTGGAGCACTGGTGTCAATTTTAGTCCAGTTGTGGCTTTATGAGACCAAGATTATCCCACAAAACCTGATGCTATGTGCAAGGAGCACAGCTCATACTACCAAGAAACTGCTTATAAAAGTTGAAGTTGGTGTGACAGAAACCTTTGATTTTTCATGCCAGTATATAAATAAGAGATATTTTCCACCAGTCAGAACTGCTCCAAGATTGAGTTCAGTTGTCCCTTGATGCAATTTCTTCCTCTATAGTTTACACTCTAGTTAATCTTCAACCTCAGTCAGATCCATAATGGTTCTCCCACTGGGCCCTAGGCTTCTTTAGTGCCTCCTGTTTCATTCCAATTCTACACACATTGCTCCTCAGCTAGTGTAAGTCATTAGCAGTAGGGATTTGACCAGTCACTCCAACTGTGACCAGTCACTCCAACTGTGCTGTCCCAGTAAAAAATAAAACAAAATAAAAATGAACACCTCAGTTGAAAGAAATAAATCAACTTCTAATATTAGCAGCTTAAACAGAATGAAGTATTCAACTGCCTCTAGAACAAGACAGTTTTGGAATTGTGCCTGAAACAAAACAAAATCATATAAGTGCACATATTTCATGCTGAAAAAGTTTTCCACATCTTGATGTTACCCAAATTTTCTTGTGTTCCTTCTTATCAAGTTTTTTTTTTTTTTGGTTGATCCTGTTTGAAACAGAATAATATAAAATTATATTTTCAGCAAGGAGGGAATAATTATGTGTTGAGCTCAATAGTCCTAAGTTGAAACATTCATGATGTTTAGCAAAGTTTAATACAGTGAATCTCTAACTCTTCATTCTTTCCATTTTAAGTCTGTGATTATGTAAATAACCTTCTTTATCTAAAAAAAAATACCATTTTATACCCAGATACTTTTTTCAATGTCTTGTCCAGTGAAGAACCTGAGAATTTTCCACAATTCAATATTATTTGCTTGCTCTTGGTAATTTCTGCAATCATGTTTCATACATAGATTATTTTATGATCTCTGCTAATTTAGTGTTCTTTGAAAAATACATATCTATTCATACGAGTACTTTTGGTTTGTGCATTGAAAGTCATAAAGGATTAAGGTTATATTTTAGTGGTTTGTAATAGATGTATTGCAAGCATCTGTTTGATTAACATATACTGTAGTTTACATTCTTCAGTTTTTCATAGGTATGATGAATATTGATTTGCTTACCAAATCCATTTTGCATCTATTTTCACAGAATATAGAGCTGTCCATGTTTTGTATTTCTGATTCAGTTGCCTTTGGTGATACTTTGGGGCTGTATTGCAGGAATAAAATTATTGCTTCTTCACTATTCATTGAAACCACAACAGTGTAATTCCTCCTATTACCCCCTCAAAAAAGTAGCCCAAATCTTGTGAAATTGGCAATTTCCATGTTAATTGATGCTCTAAATCTTTAAGCTCCTATGTGGACAGGTTGAGATTTGAAAGACAATTCATGTGAGAATGACAAGATCTAATACATTTTCAATTTTTTGTCTAGGTACTAAGTAAGCTTCAATTTCACAAATGTTTTTTTCCTGATTTTTCACTAAATGCAGGGTCTTTTGACTATGAGTTATATAGTGTGTGACTATTGTAAATAAATAAATATATGAATATGAATATATGAATAATTTTAGAAATTCTTACTGGATAATCCAGGATGATGCAATCTACCATGTTGATATTCTGGAGAATTTATTTTCTATAAATCAAGAAACGTCATTGTAAGTTTGGAAACCACCAATTTAAACAAGTTTGATACAAAACATTCATGTAGATGTGAGGATTACTGTTCATGTGTGATTTTGGTTTAACATTATTGCTATCAGGATTAATCCAGACTGTTTGAATTTGAAAGCTAGCAGGCAAAGGTATGTTCTTAGATAAGCTATCTTTTAAGAACTATTAGACAAGTCATAACTAAAACACACACAAAAAAAGCATTTTCATATACTATCTCTTAATCTAGGCATGTTTGCAGGATATAGTTAAAAAAAGTCAAGGCAGGGTCACACATCAACAATGGATACAGCTTTCATTACATTAACAGGCCTCCTCTTCCTCCTCCTTCTCCAAATGTATCTTAATTTTTTTAGCATATCCATGTACTCCACTACCTCAAATACTATATTTAATAGTTCATATGTTACATCTTTTTTCTTTCCTAGTTATTCTAATGGATTAAGACTGGTCATTTTCTAGTGGGAGGAATTGCTGATATCTGTGCACTCTTTTTATAATTGCATTTTATCATATTTCTTCTACACTACATTTTGAGTATTCATTTAATTTGAACAATGTTATAGAATAATGGCAAAACATTTATGGTGCTCTGTATTCTCTTTGCTATACAGAGTTATGCATGTGAGTAAAATGTCTACATTTCAAAAGGATTTGTTTTTGAACAGAATTAGAAAAAATCATCTTATTATGTTGGTCAGATCTGTACCTTTGAATAATGTATGGTTCTCTCTTAGCTTAGGGAGATGCTCCTGTATCCTAAATGAAAAATGATTGTGTTGGTCTTAGTTTTCTGAGTCAGTAGTCTGGCTTTGCTGAGTGTGTGCAGCTACAAATTTTAAATTTATGATGCCATCTGTCTTTCTTTTAATAACACTCATCTGTTCAAAAGAAGTTAATACATGATTCTGCCTGGCAATCTTTTGTACTTTATAGCTAGTGTCTATGACATCCTCAACAGCATCAAAACTTCACAATCTTTTAAAGAGGTGTGAGATTTCAGCTTTCTCACATGAGAATTTCTGACATTTTGAGACTCTTAACTAATTCCCATGAGATTTTAGTGATATTTGAAGAGTGGGGCATCTCATCAGGCACCTGCAGATGAGGCACTGCCAAACCCTGCTTAGCATTTAATGTGTGATTGTGGATTGTGGATTGGTGCCAGAATTCCTGGTGTGAAAACCTTACATAAATGTGTATTATATATGCATGATAGTATTTTCAATTGTTTAATTAATAGATTAATAGACTTTCTTCAACTTTTCCTGTTTTTTTTATAGATAATGCTCTTAAGTGATCCTGAGATTGAAAGTAGCATACTCATCAGTAATGATGAAGGAGCCTCCTATCAAAAATATAGACTCAGCTTCTACATCCAGAGTCTGCTCTTCCATCCTAAGCAAGAAGACTGGATTCTAGCATACAGCATTGACCAAAAGGTATGTGCCCTTCTCCTTTCTCCTTTCTCCTTGGACACATATCCAAACTCCATTTCAAATGCAAAACCAAACAGCAGTTAACATTACACATACTGCTAGGAAAAACTATTATGTTATTCCTATATATCCCTCCTCAGGGCTTGGACTTTCAGACTTTTTCACTAGGTATTGTTATTCAGGCATGATAAATCAACATACCTGACTTATTTTTCTTTCCTGTGGACAAGTAGCCTGCTGATGCTGCAAGGCCCATTTACTCTTGCTTCATTTCTCTCTCCCTTTGCACAAAAGAAGTACAGCTAACTGGACTACAGCTGTTTGTTTTGATGACAAAATCCAGGATGCTAGTTTGTGGCACCCAACCAAGTCAGGTTTCATAAGACAATAGCAAATTCCCTTGGGTATATTTTCAATACAACATCAAACAGAAAGAGGAAAAAAATATGCTCATAGTTTCACATGGAACAACTGTAGCAGCGACTGTTCAGCTTATGGTAACGTGAAAAAATGCTTTTAATGCAAGGGGCAAGGCACACACAGCCTTTTATATTATCATTTTTGCAACCCAGTTTTAAAAGGCTGGATAGTTATGACGTCAGTTTTAAATATTGCCAGGAAGGCAACCGGGTCATTTACTACAATCGCAACAGGTAATTTCTTCCTTTGAACTATGCAGATCTCACCTCTATGTAATTGCCCAATTTGGATTTATGCTATTAGAATGTATACTACTCTTAAACATTGCAGTTTGGAGAAGAAAAAACCTACAGCCTTGTTGGTTGCTCTGCTTTTGGAAATCACTTGCTTTGATGAGAATTAGGTTGCCCCAAAAGTATTGACACTATAATATAGTTTACAATGTATCCCTCTCCTACTCTCTTTGACACAAAGACATTAATGATTTTATTGGAGAAAGCAGTATACTTACATACTCAGGATGTGCCTAAGATAGCCCATTCTGAGAAATAGTCATAAAAGATTGTTAGAATTAAAAAGTATAATGCCATTTATCTGATAATTTTCCATAAGGTGATCTATCTAATGTATTCTATAGTCTTTTTAATCTATTAACAATATAGTTAAGCAGTAAAGATTCATATTGGATGACTGAGCTAATAGAAGCCATTAAGATTATGAAGCACATTATGGGCAATTTTCCCCTCAAGCATCTAGCCGGGAAATAAATAGAAATATTAATTTTCCAAAGTCCCACATTTTATGGGTCTGTGCATCTATATAGTCCTAAAACTTGTGATATTATAACTGGATGAATGGTGCATCAGAGGACAACAATTTTTGAACCAAGATACTTCATATGAGCTAATTAACATAATATGTCCAGAAACTAGGACCCATAACTTCCAAGGGAATTGGGAAATTTGTGGTTGTTTCAGTGATAGTGGCTGCTGCTGTGGTCATGTAATCTTCATTTTAAATGTTCATGTTCTATGACACTTTTCCAGCCAGTCCTACAATTCTTCACTGCCTCCCTCACCCAGCAGCAGCCATTTACATGCCTGCTGTAAATGGAAAGAAAAGGAGGAAAAAGAGAGAAAGAAATAGAAAGAGAAAAAAAAAAACCACTCCCTTGTACCCTTCCTGGCCCATGCCATTCTCCTCCACACATTTTCCAGCCTGGGCCAACCATCCCATGTTCATTCCTCAATCTGTGTCACTTCCATGTGCCTTCTCCAACCCAGGAAGCACCTTTTTTACACCTTTCTTGATCCATGCTGCCTCCAATGCCATCTCCAATTGGTATGGCACCTGTCACACAGCCTTGCAATACCCATTCATTCTTCTTGACTTATGCCACCCCCTCTGCATATCCTACCCAACCTATATAGCACCTTGGCAACTTCCCTGAACTATGATGTCCATCTACATGCCCTCACTGACATGTGTGGTAATCTCTGGTCCAAACACTCTTCCTAACCTATACAACAACTGTTGTGTACCCCCACATACCGTTCCTGACCCACATCCTACACAATCTTTTGTTCCTCCCCCAATTAGCATCAGCCACTTATTTGCCTGCTGACCTTGGACTTGCAATTTCCTGTTAACTTGTCCATTGACTTTTTCCCTGCAAGCTTCCCACAAAATAAATGGGGAAGTTGTCAAATAGTAATGAGAGGTAGGGAAGAGTCTAAGTAAGGGAAGAAGGAAGGAAGGAAGGAAGGAAGGAAGGAAGGAAGGAAGGAAGGAAAACAGTGAAGAAAGGAGGGAGAGAGGGAAGACAAGAAAGGAGGATAGGAGAGAGGGAGGGAGAGAAGGAAGGAAGGATTGATTTCTGATGCTCACTACTAGCTTCCTACAAGGAAACACAGTGAGGAAGTTCGCAAGACATTGGAGGTCATTCCCACTCCCACTGCTTTTTTGCCCACCCATCATTATTCTGTGTTTCTCTGTTTAGGTAAGGAAATACGTCTGAAACTAGTAACTCATAGAACTACAAGACGGAGCACAAAGAGGACAGAAAATCATTTTTTTTCTTATATGTTATTTATGAATGTTTGATTCCTGTGACAGGATTGGACTGTGAACCATTTAAACTCTTCATACTAATGGTCTATAGATTTACAAGAAACAAGATTAAAAATGTTTTCACATGAATATTTTTATTTCTATACATGTTCATTTGAAATAACAAGGCATCTTAATAATTTTATAGTCTTCTTTCATCTTTATTCTGTCTGGAGAGCAGATATAAGAAAATTGTGAGCAGGGATCAGGAAATAGAGAATATGACATATAAATGATAGAGTCTAAAGTTATTTTTTAAGTGTCTCTATGTCTGCAAAATTTATATTGAATTTTGTCCAGAAATTATTTTCCCTAGCTCTTGGTGAATAAACCCATTAATACTCATTTAGCAAAACGTACTGATTTTTCTGCTGCCCTGTACCACAACCACACAAATGTTTCTTATATTACCTACATGATTGAATTAATTTGTAAACATTCTATTATATAACAGATAGGTAAATCAGAATACATTGCTAATTATCTAATCATGTAATGATGATATTTTCAGATATATAACCATGTTAAATATCCTGTTAGGGCAAATGTCAAAACTTTACTGCAGTACAGCTTTAAAGATCTAGTGTACCATTTGATGTTGCTGAATGGCTTGATGCTGTTTTTAAGATAGAAAGCAAAAAGAAAAAAATCAATTGTGGTTATGCTTATAAAAAACATCTATAAGAATTGGATTTGATATGCGATGCACCTGTCAAGGTGTTCCCTTTGGGATATGTTGACTCTGGGTTGAAATGCCTTGATAAAACTCTTTTATATGGTTCAAATACTTCACTCAAAATTCTGCTGAAGAAGCAAAATATTAAGAGATAGGGGTTCCCCTCCACTTCACTTGATGATGATAGATGAAGAAACTCAAGAGGTTTCACATGTGGTCTTATTGATTTAAGTTGACATGGCCCCAACTTAATGAATAACATAGAAGCCAAAACTCCTTGCTTTTTGCTTGCTTGTGTTATTTTTTAAATTTTGAAAATTTTCCAAAACAGCCCTAGATGACTTTCAATATTTAACCTTTGAAGGTCAAAGGAACAATAGCAGTAGCATTTAGTACTAGGCATTGCCAAGACAAGAGTATATAATCCCAGCAGATTGGAAGAGGTTAATCTGGATATGCTACCTTGCAAGATAGTCCAAATAGGAAGTGTATCCATTCATATTTTATTGTAGAGTAACACTGATGAATTTCACGAAAGTACATTTCTCATCCTTAACATTTACACCTTTCGAAATTAGGAAGCATTCCTCTTAGATGTTTGTCATAAGCACATTCCTTTTGCAGGCTATGCTTCCCTTTACTTATCTTGTCAGTTTCCCCAACTTGTTTCTTTTGGTATGGGGCAAGGGAGGGAGAGAGAGACTGTCAAGTTTCCATGATTGTATTATTATACCCCTTAAAAATTCCAATAGTTCCTGTGGCGTCTGTTTCCTAACCTAGCCTGTCAAGGTCTGACATCAGAACTTCTGCACTTGCTTCTCTTTATGTCTCAGATTAAAGGAAGAGTTACCATTACCAAAGGCTGTATACAAACATGCCACAGATATACACAGGCAAGACAGGGCCAAAATTGGAGATTGCTATAGCTTTCCATTAAGGTTTTCTTCCACCTGTCCACTGAAAAACATTATATTAATTACTTGACATATTAACCCATTGGCCTTTTGTTTGCAGTTTTCTATTATGAAGGATTGTTGAATATCCCATCATTCATTGCTTATGCATGAAGAGGCTCCTTGATTCTAAAGCTTTTCCTCCTCCACTCCTTTTCTAGTAGATAGGAAACCATAGGGCAGAATCTATTTCGCATGATAGATCCAGGAGGGGGCATTTTGGGTATCTGTTTCCCTAGAAGGCTATGCTGAGTTTGAAAGACTTCAACAGATGTCTGTGACCCACACGTTGTACACAGGATTCATCCTACATATCCCCTATCCCCTATCACTATAACTAGATAGTACATCCAGGATGAAAACATCTGCAATAGATGTTTTTGCTGCAATAGACACTCTACTACAGGTCAAGAGAGAGTGGACTCTCCAGCTTTATCTGATTCTGTCTAGCAACCATGGGAGAATTGCCAAGTTAGGGTGGGGGGGAGAGGGAATTTGTAATTTATTCCCATGATACCTTGTCCAGTGTTTTCTTTGTGCCTAGGACAGGAGACTTAGTCTGATGTGGGGAAATATATAAAGGAATATGGACACGATCTTGAAGAAGGAATTCAATAGTTGTTAAGTAAATATAGCTTAGCCCTGGAAGGGTGGATGAGTGACAAAAAAATTCAATTGCCTCCCATTGATTTTCTTTAACACATGTGTTATGTGTGTCTCTGTGCATGTGTCTGCCTGTAAATGGACAAAATATCTATCAGGCTTTTAAGATTATATTTTATATCTTTTAACAATAAAGTAAAATTCCTGTAGTTTTTGTCTGCTTCGTGACATGGACTACCATG